GCATCTATAGTTCAATTCTTTTTTATTGCTAGTGGTTTTCTGTTATGGGAATATGATACAATTTGTTCCTTACCCATAGATGGACTTGGGTTGTTTCTAGGTTCTAGCTTTGATAAACACTGTGCTAATATACGTGTCTTTTTGTGGATATGCATGTGTTTTCATTTCTCTTGAGCAAATGCCTGGCAGTGGAATGGCTCAATCTATGGTGGCAAATGTTTAGACTTTTAGACAAACTGTCAAGGGCTGGGAAATGTAGCTTGGGGTAGAGCACTTACTTACTCAGCATGTATGAGACCCTGCCTTCAATCCCAAGCACTAAAACACAAAATAAATGCTGGGCTTGAGGTACAAACAGCTCAGCAGACAGCCTTTGCTTAGCAGGCACCAGGCCCTAGGTCCAATGTACAGCACCAGAAAGAGAAAAAAATCCCATCTATTCCAAATAGGTATGATCAGTGTTGCCAACCCTAGCCATCCTAATGACCATATTTTGTAACTTTTATTTGCATTTATCTGATGACTAGGGATTCTGAACACGTCTTCGTATGCTTATTCCATCTGTATGTTTTCTCTGCGGAAGTGTCTAACCAAATCTTTTCTGTGTTGAAAAAATATTTTTAATGTGTATGGCTGTTTTGCCTGCATGTATGTCTGTGAACCATGTGTGTGCCTGGTACCCTAGAGGCTAGAAAAGGGTATAAGATCTCCTGGAACTGGAATTACAGATGGCTATGAGCTGCTGTGTTGGTGCCGGGAATGGAATCAGGCATTCTGGAAAAGCAGCTGGGGTTCTTATCCACTGAGCTAAGTTTTTTTTCTTATTACTGACTCTTCTAACATATTTCTAACATAAATATATTTCTAACATATTTTAGCTGCAGGTCTTTTACAGGCCAGGGTTTGGGAATAGTTTCCATCAGTCTGCGGCTTTTTTAAATACCCCTTTTCAAAGAAAAAAATTGATCAATTCTACTAGGTTATCAACTATTTTTCTTTTATGAACCACCTTTTCGACGGTCTAAGAAACCTTTGCCTAGTCCAATGACACAAAGATTTCTGTCTGTCTGTCTGTCTCTCTGACATATTTTATGGTTTTAAGTATTACATTTGGATTTTGGATCTATTTGAGTCTTCTTTTCTTTTCACAGTAGAGGGATGGACTGAACTTGTCTTTTTTCTTCCTATGCAGTTGCCCTTGCATTCATGATGCAGCCCAGGCTTCACCTGAACACTAGACATCCCTACCTTGGCTTTCATAGTTCTGGGACTGAACAGATGCAGCACCTTGACCAGCAGAGGTGTTTTTGCATATGAGCATCCAATTGTTTTAGCCAGGCTGTTGGAAAGATTGTTCCAGTCAGGCACATGCCTTTAATTCCAGCACTCAGGAGGCAGAGGCAGAGGCAGAGGCAGGTGGACTTCTGTTAGTTTGAGGCCAGCCTGGTTTCCAGACAGAGTTCCAGGACAGTCAGAGCTGTTACACAGAGAAAACATGTCTTGAAATAAACAAAACAAAACAAAAAACAGTTGGAAAGAATGTTCTTTCTTCCCAGAATTGTTTTTTGTACCATTGCTTAAAAAGATCCATTAACCATATGTACATATTGGTCTAACTTTATTCTATTGGTTAATTTCTTTGGCTGATATTTTTCAACACTGTTACCTCACACAGCAGAATTATTTCCTGGGCCAGAGATTCCTTCCTCTGCCTCAAGTTTATGGTCTCCAGCTGGTTTTCGGACAGAAAGTCCCAGGTTTTTAGGATGGTCTTTATCGCATGCAAGGGGATTTTCAAGATGCTCCTCCGGAGAAACTCGGCAACATTCTCATCCATCTTTCTGATCCTGATACAAGAGGAGCACAGTCATGTATTAATAAGTTCAGAAACCTCAGTGTGAAAGTGTGAATTGCTTAGTATCCTACTTAACCCAGGGTTTGTTAGGTTTACCTTTTCTCAGCAGTCTATATTATTTGAGAATACAGAATTTAATTACTCTTTAAGCTGCATTGACATATGGTCTCATGTAGCCTACGTTGGGCTTAAACTCAGCTTGTGGCTGAGGATGACCTTGAACCATTAAAAAACTATATAATACATTCGTGTGCCCGTATGTATCTCTGCACATAGATGTGTGTGTGTCTGAGGAGGCCAGAGGTGCCAGATTCCCTGGAACTGGAGTGATAGTTGGTTATGAGCCACCTACCATGGGTCGTCCAGAACAGCAAGTGCTCTTAACTGCTAAGCCACCTCTGCTGCCTGACCTTCAACCTTTGATCCTTCTGCCTCTACTTCCCAAGTGTGGAATTATGCAGTGAGTCACTGCTGGGTTCTAGTCAGTGACAGGTCAAACCTAAGGCTTCCTGCATGCCAGGCCATACCCTACCAACTGTGCTATATATACACCCACATCCCCAAATCCACATCCCCAGTCCCAGTTGACTGTATTTTAAAAAGGCACTGAAAACCAAAGCATGGTTTAGAGTGAAAAAAAAAATAGCTGAATTAAGGTTGTGAAAATGGAGTATCATTTGCTGTATTGTTTAGTTATGAGACTGTTTTTCCTTAAAGGTCAAAACCAAAACCTTCAGCATGGTCTACAAGACCACGTATGACCTGGCCCTTGCTTCCTTTCTTCTGCCTACCTCTCCCTCATCTTCTTCGTTTCTGCGCGTGGATTTGAGGATGGAATGCTGGGCCTTCCCTGAGGCACACACTCTACGACCGAGCTATTTCTCCAGGCCCACCTCTTCAGCTACACCGTGTCTCAGTTCCTGTAAGACTAAAGGATCCTTCTGGGGATGGGACATTGTATTTGCAGCAACCCTTAGCTAGAAGGTTCTTGCTTTAATTCAGCCCTCAGCCTAGTCTCTCCCCGGAAACTTATTGCAGCCATCCAATAAAAAGTTATTTTACGACCTTCCAGTGCTTACTGTCTTTACAGAGCCACCTGCCATCAGCTTTATTATTTTATCACAGCTACAATAATTTTTTTGTGTGTGTGCTCAAGACAGGGACTATGTTTGTCTTATTCATTACTTTGTCAGTAAAATCTACAGCACTGTTACTGTCCGGGCAGGAGTAAGGTCATTCTAAGGAGAGTCCCTTTTGAGACAACAGATAGCAAGAAAATGCAACTCATCCAGGAACACCGTGGCAGAAGGAAAGGCTGACACCTGGGGCCGGCAGAGGTGCTTTTCTGGCAACTTGTCAGTCATTCCTGTGGGAGAGACTGACACCAGGACACATTGGCTCAGAGATGGGCAGGACCACACTGTGACCAGGACTGCTGAGTTTTGTATACCTGCTGCTCTCTGTTTAAACGTCTGTCTCAAGTCTGGACACCAGAGATGAACTTGGTGGGGGTGGATCACCAGGCCTCTTTGTTCTTTCCAGTGTGGTTGGTCACACTGGATAAATCTCTTTTCTTTGTTTTTCATTGTGACTTGTCCTTTTAATTGGCCTAGTGAGGATGGCCACTGAGCCTAGCTTGTTAGGGCTGCCCGGACCCAGGCTCTGATCTTAACAATTTCTTTTCTTTTTTAAAATTTATTACCTATACAGTGTTCCACCTGCATGCATGCCTGCAGGCCAGAAGGGGGCACCAGATCCCACAACAGATGGCTGTGCACCAACATGTGGTTCTGGGAATTGAACTCAGGACCTCTGGAAGCGCAGCCAGTGCTCTTAACCTCTGAGCCATTTCATCAGCCTGACCCTAACAATTTCAGTGACTGTCAATCAAGTCATCCAGGGAGTCCAGTCAAGGGCCATCTCATATGCACTTGACAAATGCCTGAAGGACGAAGGATGGATACTCCCCTTAAGCACAATGGGTATGGCAAGGATTTGGGGTTCATAGTCTGTCAACTATCAAGACAACACTTCATCCAGGAAGAACATCTGGGAGGGCTTTCGTGGGCACTGATAAGGTAAACGGGGAGGGTATATACGAAGCAGGCATTTCTTCCATCCCCGTACTAACCAGGTTTGACCCTGCTAAATCAGGCGAGGTCAGGGCATTCAGGGTGGGGTGCCCAAAAGATGAGATATAACATTCCTTAGCACTTCTGAAGATTCTTAATTCTGAGTGGCTTGCAGAATGTCATTCCTAGAAGAAATGACAGAAAGGGGCGTAAAGTATTGGCAAAGTTAGCAAGCCCTTGAGTGAACGTTTCCCCTGTGACTGTGTCAACTCCTATCTTCTGGCGCTTTACCACAGTAGGTGCGATGACAGTTGTTGAATAAACAGGTGACAGAAAAGATCCCTCGTGAAGCAACCATTAGGCGCGCAGGGAGCATAAGGAGTAAACCAACAGGATGTATGGACGAAAAACACGCAACGCAAGGGCTAGAGAGCCAACGCCCCGATGGAGCCCCGCGTCTCAAAGCAGAGCCACCTTCCTGCAGACAGAGCTGTAGATCGCAGCGCAGACCCCAAGCGGCACGTAAAGTCCCGCCCCACTCGGGGCGGACGTGACGCCACGGGCGCGCATCACCGCCCTCTTGCTCCAGACTCGGGCTCCACTAGTCTCAGGCCAAGATCCCGCGGCGGGTAGTGCGCCGTGACAGGGCCCCGGTGGAGGACTGGGGGCTGGCTCTCTTAGTCCTCTCTCTACCCTCCGGGTCCCAACGCGCGTCGCGTCGCTGAAGCATACCTGGCCTGTCCACTTCGCCCGGCGCGTCTGCAGCCCTTCCCGCCGCGGCGCTTTCGAAGCCGCCAATGGATGCTCGGGCCCCGCCCACCGGGCCAGGCCTCCGCACTGCTCCCGGTGTATAGGGGGGACGCGGTAGTGGGCGCGCCCGATGGGAAACGCGTCAGGTCCCCAATATCGCTCTATTCAGGGTCAGGATCAGGTAAATAAAGGTCACCTCTGTCTAGAGTCTCTCCTTGCAGTCCGCGTTGTCTGCTGCCGTCACCGAGCGTGGTGAACCAGCCCTTGATCCCCCTTAGTCTCGGGACAGTGGCTCGATCCAGGCGGGGCGGTGCACGCCGGGCGGCGCATGCGCGGAGAGGCGGGACAGGGCCATCCACTTGGCGGAGCTGCGTGCTCTGAGTCCGTGACTTTTCTCAGTATTTCCCGTGGGGGCCGAGCGGCGGTGAGTGTCGGGTGGTCCTCAGCTTTAGGGCCTCTGGGAGCCTGCGGCGCGAAGACACGGCTCTTCGGGTTCCCACGCCGCTCTAGGCGAGATGCTGAGGCGGCTGGGGTGCACCCACGTCCTTGTCCTTGGACCTTGGCTGGGGACACTCGGTTGGTGAGCCGCGGCCGTGACCCTCTACGGAGTGTGACAGCTCGCAGCCGCTCTTGGCTTTGCGATCTGGAGCACACGTCTTATAGAGTGCGCTTCCCCTGTCTCAGCGCTTTTGGAGATACGTGACATTCGTCTAGGGATCTGCCTGCAGAAACGGGCATCTGGTAGTGTGCGTTTTAGCTGCCCTGAAAGTTCTTGTACAGAAAAGTCAATTAACTGGCTGGTGATGAGGGTATCCACAAGGATCTCCACGGTACGCTGGGCAAGGAAAGTTACGTTTCGTGTCCGTTTTATAGGCTTCGAGGACCATTGTGATTGTGTTTTCACAATACATGTATGTAGAGTTGAAATTTTAGAAACCTCTGCTAAAACTTTGTGAAATCACACACACACACACACACACACACACACACACACACATACACACAAAACAAGCTTGGTATGGTGGCTCGTGCCTTAATCCCAGTACTGGGGAGGTGGAGGCAGGGGGTCAGGGTCAGGAATTCAGCGCCATCCTCAGGTACATAGGGAGTTCGAGCCAGGCTGGACTACGTGAGACTGTGTCAGTAACTAAACCCACTCTAAATGTCTACAGCTTTGGCATCGGCAAAAGGGATTCGCTTGTAACATCCGTTCTGTCTTGTACAGTTAACCCTTTGTATTGGTTTGGTTGAGCAAAGTCGAAATGAGCGTCTTTTCATCCTCTTCAGTAGTAATATCAACATTCAGCAAACATTTATTGGGCATTTCACTGTATACACTTACTAGACTACTCCCTCACAAGCTTGTGTTCAATTATGAGTGTGAGGACTGATTATCATTATCATCTTCATCATCATCTTCATCATCATCATTATTATTATTTCTCTCCCTTGACTTGGCAGAATGCTTACCTGCCGCCCCGGTGCTGGTAACATTGTTCCAGAAGGATGCCGAGGCGGCCTATTTGTTGAGAAGCAGTTTGATGGAATTCAAGGTAGTAGGCAATGTGACTGCTGTGAAAGTCTGTGGGGAGCAGGTTTTGGCTCTAAGAACAAAGGTTTGGCTGAGTGAATACTTTCATATCAGGGCTTCACTCTGTGGGGAAGGTATCCAGTTACCCTTGCGGGGGTGGGGGGGGAGTTCAGTTTTATACCCTGCTAGGAGGATACTATAGAAGGTAGAAATGCCATGGTTTCAAAGGATTTCTACAGAATTGAGAGTGACTTATCCAAAAGACAGGTTTTCCCGTAGCTCTGCAAAAACGGGCTAGTCCAAGGGGATGTGTACATATACACTTCCCGTGGATTAGTCCAGTAGATGTCTGCTGTGCATTTATAACACTGTGGGCTCACCACTCATGCATACATGCATATGCATTTTGCAAACATGAAAAGAATGTGAAAACAGAAAACATAATCCTTCAAAAAAGTAGTAGCCACCCAGTATACTTTAGTGCATTGGTATTTTCTCTACACTGTGCAACTCTGGGGCTGGGACTGGTTCACACTGCTCAGCACCATGAGACAGGACGGCATTGGTCTGTATATTGCTAGTTTATGAAAAGCTTCAGGTCAGAACAGCAGGTTCCCAATGTGTGTCATCTTTCCATGAATTGAAGTCGAGGAATTGTAAGGTGGGCCATCAGAAATTGGAGACCATGTGTCTGCTTTGCTAATTAGAAAAGCTGTTTCTGAACATCTTAAATTTGCATTTGAACCGTGAAGGCACAAATTTGAGGACTGCTTGATCAGAATGTGCAAAAATATTTTGACAAGTACATTTTTGAAACAAAACATTCAAATCATTTTCTAGGTGGCAAATCCGTGTACTTGCAGAAAAAAATAAGTGAGTTGAAAAGAAGATTAACTCCTTCTACGTTCTATTACATTACTATACATGATAGCTTCTGGTGATTAACACCATAACATAGGCTGATGACTTACAGTGATGAACTATGTCGAACTTCACACTTCTGAGGCATATCATTTGTGTTATTAAGACAACATGTAGTCAGTGCAGAGCAAAGAAAATCTGAACTTGGCCGTGTTTCTGTTTTCCATTTCAAATCCTTAGCTGGATGGGACTGCTTGATTTGTGGTCTTTAGCTGTGGTGTGGATGTGTGTGTTTAGTAGTTAGTGAATTGAACAGCGAGCAGATATAATTGCAACTTAAGATAGTGGCTATGCTTTAGTACTTGGGAATTATTTATTTAGGTTTTCTTTTGTATTTGTTGGGAATGAGGTGGGCAGTTTGAGAATTTCAGATACACACACATACACACACATTTCTCAGATTTTTTTATATAAAAAATTTTGTATAAAATGTGCATACCATAAAATTTGCCCATTGTAAGCGAATTTAGTGATATTAGTAAGTTTGTAAAATTGTGCAGCCATTACCAGGACCCCATTTTAGCACATTTTCATTACTCTAAGGCAGTGGTTCTCAACTTTCCTAATTCTGTGACCCTTTAGTACAGTCCCTCATGTTGTGGTGACCCCCAACTATAAAATTATTTCATGCTACATCATAGCTGTAATTTTGCTACTGTTATGAATCATAATATAAATATCTGACGTGCAGGATATCTGATAGGTGGCTCCAAAGGGGTTGTGACCCACAGGTTGAGAACCGCTGCTCTAAGAGATTTGTTTGTGTCCATTTGCAAATTAGCCCTCATTTTCATCTTTAGTCCCGTACAACCAGTGGCTTGATTTTTGTTTCTGTGAACACGAATGTAACCTTTTGTAAATATTGTCTGAAAATAGAGACATGTCTTAACGTGCGGACTAAGTATTTCAGGAAGTGCCATTGTGCCTTTTCTTTTCTTTCTTTCCTTCATTTTTTATTTTTATTTTTTTTTTTTGAGACAGGAATATTTTCTTCAGCCTATCCCCAACTTCATCCATGTTGCAGTATGTAGTTAATTTCCTTTTAAGGCTTACTGGTATTCCACTGTGTGTGGCCAAGGTAGCACTTCGCTGTTTGCTTGTTTTGGTGTTTGGAATGACCTGCTGTGCATGTGAGTGTCTTGCTGTCTCTTCTAGACGCTGCCTGCAGTTCTTGGGGGTGTTTCTAGGAGCGGAATTGCTACCTCGTGCAGTAATTCTATTTTCATTTTCCCCTTTTTGAAAACAAAATCTATTTTCTATGTATGAGGGATTTCCCCACACAATATATATGCAGGGCTGGCAGAGGTCAGAAGAGAGCATTGGAACCCCCAGAACTAGAGTTAGACCCTGGTGAGCTGCCTTGTGCAGGCAGCACCCATCACTGATGAAGCTGCTCCATTTCATTCCCCTTTTGAGACAGTCTTGCTATGTAGGCTAGGCTGTCCTGAGATTTGCTGTGTAGCCTGGGCTGTCCTGAGATTTGCTATGCAACTGTGTCAGATTGACCTGAAGCTTGTTTCTCCTGCCTCTGCCTTCTGAGAGCTGAGATTGCAGGTGTGGGTCCTTATGAAATGTTTTGAGTGTTAGATGACTCTTAGGGTGGCCACACCATTTTATGTCACACCAGCAGTGTACAAGGGTCACAGTCTCACCAGTTTCTTTGTAGCCTCCCCAGTCCTTGTTAGTTTCCTTTACTTAAAAAACCCATTTATTATTTTGTGTGTGTGTGTGTGTGTTACACACACCATGTGCATGCATGTGCCCTTGGAGGACAGAAGAGGAGAGGGTGTTGGATTCCTCGGAGCTGTGGTTACAGGGGTTTGTGAACTGCCTGTTGTAGGCTGGGAATGGGACTCGAGTTCTGTAAGGGCAGCAAAGTTCATACCTCTTACCTATTGAGCCGTCTCTCAGCACCCCTTCCTTTTTGTTTTTTCCCCTCAGCTTTCTTTTTGTATGTTTGGTTGATTGGTTTGAGAGAGACAAAGTTTCTCTGTGTAGCCATGGTTGTCCTGGAATTCTCTTCATAGACCAGACTGGTTTGGAACTCAGAGAGCCACCTGCCTCTGCTTCTTAAGTGCTGGGATTAAAGGAGTGCACCACCATACCTGATAACAACAGCTTGCCTGCCTGACTGCTTTCCTTCCTTCCTTCCTTCCTTCCCTCCCTCCCTCCTTCCTTTTTTTTTTTTTTTAATATTTCAAGACAAGATTTTTTGTGTAGCCCTGGCTGTCTTGGAACTCACCCTGTAGACCAGGCTGGCCTCCAACTCACAGGGATCTGCCTGCCTCGGCCTTCTGTGTGCTGGCCTAAAGGTTGTGTGCCACCACACCTGGCTGACAGTAGCTTTTCTTTTCTTTTTTTCTTTCTTTTTTTTTTGAGAGGGAGAGCTTTTAAGGTTAAAACAAGTAAATGGTTCTTTTGGTCATGTTCTGAGTTAGAAAGTGTAGTTAAAAAATAGGGTAACACTATATAACTATAACAGACATTTTAAAACCATATATTTTCTTAATCTTGGTTGCTAATTTTCTCTTTTGTGGTTGACCCATTAAACTAATCCCTGGGATCTTCGATTTTTGTTTTCAGTGCAGTGATTACTTTTGTGCACAGCTCTGTGAATTTGAAAACCACTTATTGTCTTATCTCATCATTTAGCTAAGTTTTTTCAGATGTTAAAAAGCAGTCCGAGTTAATTCACACTAATGTGAGACTGACTTACGGCCCTTTATAACTCTCAGAGGAGCATATGATTTAAAAGAAGTAATAACCGATTCTCCTCGTTGCTAAACTTTCACCTGAATAAGATGAGTCGTAACCAGTTCCTGACGTGTGAGCAAAGTTTTTAAAGTCCAGCTGTTGATGTAGGCAAGTGTTCCGAGGGAGGGACTGCTCTTCCTTCTCTGGACCTGCAGGCTCTAAATCCGGGGAACATGCTGGCTGTTCGTCACTGCAGGCTCTAAACCCGGGGAACATGCTGGCTGTTTCATCACTGTAAAGGAGCTGAGGCTCGCATTGAACATTTGGCTCCAGCTACACACTTGGTTCATAGTTGACACTTGATTCTGATAAAGGTCATTGCCGGCTCTCATTGAAAATGCAAGTATATTCATGTATACTGAAGGAATTCTTGTGTTCACAGGTCGCCCTGCATTTATTCGTCCTCCTAAAGATGCATCCTGACTTATCGCCACATTTGCACACCGAGGAATGCAACATCTTGATTAACTTGCTTAAGGAATGTCACAAAAATGTAAGGATTCAGAAGAGTGATCTTAATGCACAAGTGAAACTTAGGTACAGCGCTGATGTGAAGTGTTTTCCCATAGCACAAAGGGACGGGGCAGTGTATTATTAGTAACAGGAGTGAGCTGCTTGAAGCTTGTGTGAAGCTTGTGTGTGTGATTCCATGCTCTTTATTACTAGCAAGGTAGAGCCCGTGCAGTCCTATGCAGTCCCGTGCAGTAGTTGGAATGCATGTTCTTACAGGGAGAAGTGTCACTTCCCTACTGAAGGATGCTGGGACAGTTAGTGCACCTCCAATCCCTGACCATGTGGCGTCATTCTAAGGTTGTCTGCTCCTTTATAGTCACCTTTATGTAAGTTTATGTTAGCAAACTCCAGTTTTTGATTGGCCAGATTTGATGAATTTACTTCACACTTAGTAGAATGGAAAGTAAAAATGAGCCCCTATGGAGACTACATTAAATCAAGTTGGCTTTTTTTGTAGATGTTGAATATTAGGTTCATTTTAATGGTTTTATGAATTATTAGTGTTTTTCTTTAACGTTGTGCTTTTATTTATCTCATGATGATGTAAACTGTAGATACATCACATTTAGTAATAGTGTCTGCCACTTAGATGAATAAGATTAGGACCCAAAGAATGATAATAAGTAATACCTACAGTCTTTGCAGACAGGTGTTTTATTGGGTCAAAGAATGCTGTTGATGACAACATACTTGGGTAAACAGTTCACACAACATATGTGGATCAAGAATTAGGTGCTCTTATGCTGGGAGGTGGTGGCGCACACCTTTAATCCCAGCACTCAGGAGGCAGAGACGGGCGGATCTCTGAGTTAGAGGCCATCCTGGTCTACAGAGTGAGTTCCAGGACAACTAGATATACACAGAGAAACCCTGTCTGAAAACAAACAACAAAGAAAGAATTAGGCACTCTACCTAACTGGAAAATGAACCAGTTAATGTAAGTGAAACACAACTGAAGGGTTTTAAAATCAAACTATAAAATGTTATTTAAAAAGGAGCTGGTTGTGCTGATGCAGTGCAGATCATTTCACTGCCGTGTATGGTAACGTGTAGGCAAGGACAGAAAAGGAGTGGGACCGACACAGTTTTTAGGACATGTCTGGAGTAGCTAAATTAAGTGTGATCCTAGTATTCTACTATACTAGTAGATTCTCTACTGCCTGGGTGTTTGTCTTGTAAGAACTCCATGGATTCTTAGCTGCTTTCAGCCTTTGGTTCTGTGTGGTTCTTTGTACTTACTGCAGCCTCGTGATGTGCCAGCTGATAGGTGTGGCAGCTCCCTGTGGTCCCCTCCCTTACTGACAAAGCCAGCTACCCGGAGCCGCTCCTCAGCTCCCCCAGGGCAGTGTTCTCTATCCAGCTGTGTGACTGGAAGCCAGGCAAACGCAGGGCTCATCTTGATGCCATAGACCTGCGCCATCTTAAAATGATTTTCTCCTGTGTTCTGCCCAGGCTGGTTGTTAGAAGACCAGTTTCCCCCATTTACTCACAGAATTGGAGGATTTCAAATGGATTTTTTTTTTTAAAAAAATCTTTTTTAAAGATTTTATTTTATGTATATGGTGCTCTATTTGCAGATACACCTGCATTCCAGAAGAGGGCATCAGACCCCATTATAAGTAGCTATGAGCCAACATGTCATTGCTGGGAACTGAACTCAGGACCTCTGGAAGAGCTGCCAATGCTCTCAACCTCTGAGCCGTCTCTCCAGCCTTCTCAAATGGACTTTTTAATAGATGACACTGGAACAATTACATAGTCGAGTGAAAAAGTTAAAATTAGATTTTCATACTAGCCCTATGAATCTGTTCTAGTGGGTCAGGGATTTAAATGTCAAAAATAATCCCACAGATTCTAAGACAACACTCGTGTGTAACCGAGTGTGGGGAAAGACTGCCTTGCCAGCCATTAGTCTAGAGCCTCTCTATCAAGTTGTTTCTAGCTGGATGTGTTGGCACATACCTTTATCCCAGAACTCAGGTAGAGGCAAACCAAAAACAAACAAATAAAATTGCTCTTTTTTCCTTTCCATGGTTCTTTGAAAGGAAGTCATGGTGCACATTTAAAGATTATTAAATTAAGTTCTCCCTCTTTAGTGGTGCAGTATGTGTGTAGTTATTTATTCTTTAAAATCTGTGTTATAGACTTGTCCTGCTTATTTACCTCTATGATTGTGGACTCACGCATACGAGGGTAACATAGAACAGTTCTGTTGCCCAGGCTGTTTTCGTTTGGGCACCAGGAGTTTCAGTGTGCTGTGCACAGTGGTTAAAATAAAGAGAGGCTAGTGGTAGCCCAGGCCCTTACTCAGGTAGAATATGGTATGCTCAAGAGTCGGAGACAGGAAGATCAGGAGTTCAAGGCCAGCCCCAGTTACACCTTTACCTGTGCACAGTGATGCATACCTCAATCCCTTTACTCAGAGGTGTGCCATGAGTAGAACCAGATAATTATAACTTTATTCCAGATGAGTCACACCAAAGGAAAGGATGACTGATGTCAAATAATGTGAACATAGGCTGAGGATGGAGGTGCTGTTGGTTAGAGTGTGATGGCGGTGGCCAACAGTTCAAGAAGTGCCTTCCGTGTGTTCTGTGTACCCCAGAGCTGAGCAGTAAGAGACTGCTCTCAGAGTGGCACTACACTCCGGCAGCGTCACTGGAGCCTAGCGATCCCTCGTGCTCACAGTAGAACTAAGCCACTGGCTTTGCATCTGATGTGAGCGGGACGGGCCGTATGTGTGCTTTGATAGGATTTGTGCTAAAGCTGCAAGTTTCTGCCTTTTCCTGCACTCTCTGAGGATGCTGGGTTATGTACCACACATTGCCTCTGTAATCTAATTGATAGGATGGTAGACCAAGTTGTTTAGCTGCTGGCCCCAATATGTGTGGCTGTTTTAATCTTTCTGTGTTACGAGGCCGTCACTCTGGATGTCCCTTTCCATGCAGGGATGCTGCGCTGTTCTGTAGTCCTCTTGAAGTCCAGGGCCCCTTCATCTCCGCAGAGCCTGCCTTGCTGTGCTTTCATCATTTCCCCGTGTTTTATGGTTTTTCTGTGGTCTTTGCTGCCGCATGTCATTTCCGTGGCCGTCAGTATCTACAGGCTGCCTCTGATCTACTGGGCTGTTGTGCCTGCGTTTGTCAGCAAGACTCAAATCATCTACACTTAGAATACAAAATGCAAAGCGGCTGCTTTCCTCAAAGCCACCTGCAAGCCCTTAATGTTATTTTTTTTTCTGATTTATAAAGGCAATATTTAAGTAATACATGTCTTTGTAGACAGTATGAAAAATCCAAGAAAGCATCAAGGAAACAGCCACCCCGAAATAAAGTCACTACGAATAGGCTTTACTGTGGGGGGGGGCGCATTTTCTTATCTCTGTATTTCCCCCCCTTTGCAGGGAGTCTTCCTATTAACATTTTAAAAGACTCCCGTTTTTCCCTTGCTGAGAACACAAACACATAAACCTTTCAGTAATCCCAGGCTTCAGAGCAGTCTGGAAGGACTGTTTGCTTTCTCCTCTTTCAGCTGGTTGTCTGCTCCTTGGGAGGATGCTGAACCAACTGAAGCCACTGGCTAGAGCATGGTTAAACTCCGTAGACATCTTCCGCCACCTCACTGCTTCAGGCCAGCATTTGATCTTTTCTGCAACCTTGTCTCTTCCCTGGTTTTACTTAGTCTTGACTACGCTTCATGTCCTTGGCAGTCTTGCCTCTACCTTAAGACTGTTTCTCAGCTATGCGTCTGGAGAAATTCTTCTGTGATTTTGGCAGCTGAAATCTCTAGCTCAAACTTTTTTTTTCTTTTTCTGAATTCTGTTTACCTCTACGTTAACTCCATGAATTAGCTGTTCCACGAACAAACTCAGCTTGTCCAGACAGACTCAGCTCTGTTTAAACTGTCCCCCCTTTTCTCTCTTGTGCATCTACTTGTCAAAGCCAGAGACCAGTGTCATCTCTGATTCCATCTGCCCCACTTCTCCCCAGCCTCTGGAGATGTCCGCTGTCACTCTTGTGAAGGGAGAGATAAGTACTTGGGTTATTGCGGAAGTTTTCGAGTATTTACAGTTATTATCATTACTTTTTTTTTTTTTTTTTTTTTTGAGACAGGGTTTCTCTGTGTATAGCCCTGGCTGTCCTGGAACTCACTTTCTTTTCTTTTNCACTTTGTTAGCAAATTAGGGCCACTATTACTTAAATACACCCAGGAAAGGAAACCAAAAGAAAGGTAAACACATCCAGAGTCCAGTGACTTCTTACATCTCCAGCCTGAAACCTGGTGCGACTCTGTCAGTCATCTGGCTGGCTTGGCTGGCTTGCCTCAGGCAGTAACTTCCAGAGAGTTATGGCTTGTGTTACTTTCTTGTTGCTTCTAAGAGTAAACACAGGTTCTTAAAATGTCCACATAGCTCCATTTACCTTTAGATACACATTCACTACTCTTGTGAAGATAAAACATGGCCTGTATTTGGCTTTTTTTTTTCATTTTTCCAGACAGGGTTTCTCTGTGGCTTTGGAGCCTGTCCTGGCACTAGCTCTGTAGACCAGGCTGGTCTCGAACTCACAGAGATCCGCCTGCCTCTGCCTCCTGAGTGCTGGGATTAAAGGCGTGTGCCACCACTGTGCAGCTTCAAGTGTTTACATTCATATCAAAATTGTATGTCTGTTTTGTTGAGTTTGTTGACAGTTTCATACATGTATACAGTGTTTTCTATTTATCCCCTCCCTCCTCCTCTCATCTTCCCCACCTCTGCCCTCTCTCATCCCCACTGGCCCCTCCCCCACATTCACAGTTTTTTTTGTTTTGTTTTATCACCACTGCTTTTAACCAGAACCGCCCATGTGCATCTCCTGATGACAGGTTGTTCCTGGGCCCCCAGGTGCCCCTCCACTACAGCAGTGCTGTATGGAAACGGCTCGCTCTGTCTTCCCCCTGCACTGCTGATTCCCCAGCACCCGGTCCACTGCTCTCTGTATGCAAGGTGCACAGATCCCACTCACCACTTACTCCGGTGGGTTGGTTTCTAGAATGCCCATCCAGTACTAGCAGGTTCAAGGTGGCTTCCGTGCACAGGTGTTTTTTACCAGTTCCCCCTGGGTGTTCGGCTGACGACATTTTCCACTTCACAAAGTGTGATTCTCATCTGGGCTTAGCTAGCGTGGAGGTGAAAGGACAAAAGTTAGCTTTTATCTTCGGTTTTAAAATAAGATGTGTGTCTGTGGGGCAGCTGGAGAGATGCCCCGGTGGTCAATGCTAACTGCAAGTGTGAGGGCGTGGCTCTGAGGCAAGCACACGTGGGAAAGCTGGTCGCAGAGGTGTGGGCTCCCTGGGGCTTGCTAGCCAGCCAGCGTAGGCCAATTGGACAACTCCAGGTTCAGGAGAGACCTGACTCTAAAAATGGGGTGGAAAGAGATTGAAGAAAACACCAGCATTAACCTCTGGCCTCTACACACGATGGAATCGTGGTCACACATGTACATGCATTAGGGTGGGGAGGTGTATTGTGTGTACACACACTCCTGCGGGGTGCTGCAGACACTAAGCACTATGCTGTGATTTCTGAGTGTCAGCTGTAGTTCTTATTAGAAAGGGTGAAGATGGTTTCCCTGTTTATTGTTTGTCACAGAACTCATTTAGGGAAAACACAGGAAGTGTTTGTTCTGAAAAGGCCGTTAGGTGACAGAGAGGAAATCCTGGACTGACTAAAGGGCTTATTGGAACAGCTCTGACCATTTATGCAACGTCGACCTGAGAAGTGATTCTGTGGCGGTGAAGGAGGAACGAGAAACAGCACCAGGCGACAGCACCAGGCGTCGCTTCCTAATTATGTGTTGTCTGGTTCCCACGCAAGTCGTAATTAGGGGGAGAAGGAAAACCGTGCTCATTCCAGGCACAAGTTCAGTGTTTACAGCAGATCATTACTGCAGATCACTGTGCTGCCTGCCCCGCCTTAAACATTGTCGCCTGCAAACAACCCTGACTTCACTAGAGCCCAGGGTCTTGGCGCCAGCTCGGCATCTGCCATGCAGCATTCACAGTTCTGGCAACGGGGTTTGAAACCTAGATGAGATTTTTAGTTTTGTGCTTCCAACAACGCAGACTTTGAACTTTAGACAGATTTAAAAACATTTTTTTGAGGTTTATTTATTCTTATTTTATGTGTATGGGTGTTTTGCCTATATGTGCATTTGTGCACCATATGCATGTATTACCCATGGAGGCCAGAAGAGGGCATCAGATCCACTGGAGTTGGAGGTACGACCCCTTGTACGCCTTAGAACAGACCAGGGTAAGAGTAGGGACTGAGCCGTCTCTCCAGCCCCAACACAGGTTTTTCTTATAAGCTAGTGGCTTATTTATGTGGTCTGTACAGGTCATCTAATGATGCAGTATATGTCTGATGTATTTTGATGATTACTTTTGGGATAGAGTCACATAAGAAAGTGGCTTCAGCAGCAAACATTTTAATAACATTTTAAAAGTTTTAAAGTCTCTCTCTCTCTCTCTCTCTCTCTCTCTCTCACACACACACACACACACGCACACTGCATCCATGCATATCCATGCATGAGTGCTGGTGCCCATAGAGACCAGAAGAGAGCTTGGGATCCCCTGAAACTGGAATTATACTCAGTGTGAGTTCTGGGAATTGGATTTGAATCCTCTACAAGAGCAGCAAGCACTCTTAACCAGACTTCTCTCTTCAGCCCCTTAAGTAACTTTTGTGGATCAATGTTTGCTAGTGAAGTAAGTCTTTGCCTATATCGCTGAAGCCATATCCCTCTAATAGGGACGGGGTGGTGCGTGCTAATTAAGGAGATGGTTTAGGTCATTAAACCCTTTACTTATTAAAAAAAGATTTATTATATATATGGTGTTTTGCCTGCATGTATGCCTGCACGCCAGAAGAGGGCACTAGATCTCATTGTAGATGGTCCTGAGCCACCTTGTGGTTGTTGGGAATTGAACTCAGGACCTCTGGAAAGAGCAGTCAGTGCTCTTAACCTCTGAGCCACCTCTCCAGCCCATCATTTTAAGTTTTTAATGATGTGTTTGTGTGTTTTTCTATAAGAGAACGTGCATATGGCTATCTTTGGAGGCCAGAGGCATTAGATTTCTCTGGAGATGAAGTTGCAGGTTGTTGTAAGCTGCTTGTTGTTGGTGATAGGAGCTGAACTTGGGTCCTGGGAGAGTACCAAGTGCCCTTAACCGCTGAGCCGTCTCTCCTGCCCTGTGATTAAAACTTTTCCATTCTTTTATGCTATGTAAGATTTTAATGGGGTAGGAGGCTTCCTTGTTTTTTAAACTAAGTGTGTGTGTGTGTGTGTGTGTGTGTGCACGTACATGAGTGTGGAAGGCAGTGTCTGATGTCTTTATCACTGTGCCCTGTTTTGAGACAAGGTCTCTCACTAACCTGGAGCTCATGGACTCAGCTAGGTGGCTGACCAGGGAGTCCCCAGGATCTCCTTGTCCCCACCTTCCTGGGCTGCCGACTTCTCTGTTCGTGCTGTGCTGTGGGTGTAACTCACGTCTCTGTGCTTACAAGCATTCCGCCCACCAAGTCATCTCATCGTTCACGTTTGTCTTTGTTTCTGTCCGGCAAGCATTCGTTCCTGCCATGGACGGAGGGCAGGGTAGGCCTCCTAATTGCTTATTACCAGAGCCACGTGCGGCAGACGTCATTACCATAGCAGCATCTGTTTATGTTCTGTGTTTCAGAGACATTAGCATATTATGAGATGAAATATCTTACCCCTTTCTCCCCTTTAGCACAACATTCTGAAATTTTTTGGTCATTGCAACGATCTTGATCGGGAAATGAGAAAGTGCTTGAAGAATGAGGTAAGAACTGTGCCTAGAGTTAAATAGCATAACATTTTTGAATGTTATGTTTTCATTATTAAATTTTCCATAATTTTAGTCTCTCAGAAAATCAACTTTATTTGTATGACATTCTCTTTAAAACCTAGAGGCCTGAATTTTGCTTTGGGGACAGCTTTAGAACATCACTCCCTGTCTTAGTTTGGTTTTTTTGTTTGTTTTTGTTTTTCAAGACAGGGTTTTTCTTTGTAGCTTTGGTGTCTATCCTGAAACTAGCTCTTGTAGACCAGGCTGGCCTCGGAACTCACAGAGATCTGCCTGCTTCTGCCTCCTGAGGTCTGGGATTTAAGGTGTGTGCCACCACTGCCCTGCTTAGTTTGGTTTCTGTTGCTATGAAGAGACACTGCTGTGGAATGCTTTTGTACACTGTAAAGATTTGTCATTTGTATTGGTTTAAAAAAATGCTGATTGGCCAGTAGCCAGGCAGGAAGTATAGGTGGAAAAACCAGTCTAAGTGAATTCTGGGAAGAGGAAATCATCAGCCAGATGCAGAGCAATATGAGAATGCCTCACCAAGAAAAGGTACCAAGCCATGTGGCTAAAGATAGTCCAGAATTATGGGTTATTTTAAGTTGTAAGAGCTAGTTAATAATAAACCTGAGCTAGACCAAAGAGTGTATAATTAATATAAGCCTTTGAGGCTGTGCAGTGTGTGTGTGTGTATGTGTGTGTGTGTGTGTGTGTGTGTTGGTGGAGGTTTTGTCCTGCAGAGTCCCGCAATAATCACACAGAAACTATATTTGCAATACAGTTTGGACAATATCTGGCTAACTTGTATCTTAACCCATTTCTATTATTCTGTGTATTGCCACATAGCTGTGGCTTACTGACAAGGTTCCGGTGGGCTCCTGCATGCAGCTACATGGCTTCTCATTGACTCCACCTTCTTTCTTCCAGCATTCAGTTTCGTTTTCCCACCTAGCTGTACTCTGCCCTATCACAGGCCAAAGAAGCTTATTTATTAACCAATAAAAACAACACATATACAGAAGGATTTCTCACAGCATTTCCCCTTTTCTGTCTAAATAAAAAGGAAGGTTTTAACTTTAACCTAGTAAAATTACATATAATAAAACAGGTATTGAGCAAGAATTATAGTTACAATATTTATATCTACTTTATCTTTTATCATAACTAAGGAAAACCATAACTATTCTTCAACTCCATCAAAGACTCCAGAAGGATATACTATTACCTAAGTAAACAGGAAGTGCATTGTAAGCAACTCCAAAACTCTAGAATTGATGAGACATTTTGCTGCTTGGACAGTCACCCAAAGTTCTTACGTAACGTTGTGGGCATCCATCTTCAGCCTACAGGCTCATAGTATCTGGCAGGGCTGTTACACAGAGAAACCTTGTCTTCAAAAATAAACAGCAACAACAATAAAAAAGTGACTGTCCTGCTATCCCTCCATGTTTGGAACGTTTTTTAAAAAAGTATGTTTATGTGTTTGGATATTTGCACATGCATGCAGGTGCCCTCAGAGGTTAGAGATGTTGGATCCTGGGAGCTGTAGGTTAAAGTGGTTGTGAGCTGCTTGACATGGGTGCTGTGAACTGCAGTTAGGTCCTCTGTAAGAGCTGCACAGGCTCCATACCAGTGAGCCATCTTCAACCCCAGTGTGTTGGGGTTATCTCATGCCCTTTTCAAAGCGTCTGCCTGTTTCTGCCTCTTTGCTGCCTTTTCCTTTGTTGTTACTGCATTTGCACATCCTCTGTTCCTGTGCCTGCATTGTGTGGTTAACATCCTCTTTATTCTGTTTTTTGATGATGTCTTGGGAGTGACTTTGCATTTACCCTTCCCCCCTTTTTGTTCAAGGGCCATCTTGACTTTCTACATTAGGATAGACTTATTAACTACATTAGTATAACTTTTACGTCAGTGTGCTCCTTTTAGTGGCCTGCTGTGTCATCACCTTCTGAACTCTTACCTTTAGACTCTTCTCTCCTAGTCGCTGTAGACAGTCCAGTGTCAGATCGTTTTTCCTAGAGCGCATGTCTGTCTATGTTCTAGAATAGTGTTTCATATTGTTTTCTCCCAAATAGTCCTTTTGTTCTGTTTTGTTTTTGAGGCAGGGTCTCATAGAGCCCACGCTGCCTTGGCCTCCTGTACCTAAAAGACTGCTTGAAGAGCCTGTGTGTCTGTCCTCCATCTCTTCTTCCCTGGTTTGATTTGGTTTGGTTTGGATTGGTTTGCTTTGCTTTGTTTTTTTCAGACAGGGTTTCTCTTTGTAGCTTTGAAGCTTGTCCTGGAACTTGCTCTGTAGGCCAGGCTGGCCTTGAACTTACAGAGAAGCCTTTTGATGAAGGAAACAGTTTGGAAATTTGTTATTCAAAGGCTGAGAACATGGCTTATTGGGTGAGGGTGTTTGTGGTCAAGTGGACCACCTAAGTTCCATCCCTAGGACATGCATGGTGGAAGGAGAGAATGAACTCCTAAAAGCTGTCTTCTGGCTTCCACCCTTGAACTATGACATCTGTGCACTCACACACATAAACAGATTCAAAATAAATGTCTTTTTTTTTTTTTTTTTTTTTTTTTTTTTTTTGGTTTTTCGAGACAGGGTTTCTCT